AACTATAATCAAACTTAAATAAATCTTTACTCATAAATAACAAACAAACTAAAATTTCAACATGAGACAAGTAGTATGCTAAAAAGATCAGACCTTTGTGACAAAACTCTGACGCTGCACGACCAACCTTCTGTCTTTCGAGATCTGCTGCATGAAAGATGAAAGATGATAAAAGTGACAGCATTAAAGAATGAAAATATCAATCTTTACAGGTTAAATCAACAAATCTTTAAAAAAAATTCTTTACCTAAAACCGTCAACGACGACATTTGAAGGCGGAGTCGACGACGAGATTCAAGGGAGGAGTCGACGACGAGCTTCGAAGGCGAGGTCGATGACGAGGTTCGAAGGCGAGGTCGACGACGAGCTACGAAGAACGATGACCTTGAGGTGAGTTGTGAACGAAGGCGAGGTTCGAAGGCGGAGTTGGTTTTGAAGGAGGAGAGGGAAAGAAAGAGGAGAGAGGATTCGATCGCTCAGATCTGAAGGAGGCGGCAGCCATCGCTCAGATCTGAAGGAGGCGGAAGCCCTAGCCCTAAAACCCCACTCTTTGATATTTATAGGTAGATAATGGGTATCATTTGTAAAACAAATTTTACATAATAAACATTTGGAATAATTCCAAGAAAAAACTAAGCCATGACCCCAAAGTCTAATAGAGATTCATCATCTTAATTTCCAATGGAAAAAAAATTCATCTTAATTTCCAAAGGGAAAAATAAAAAATCCAAACAAGCCCTGCATTTTTTTTGCCGAGATATTTTAGTTTCTACGTCATGTTTTTTGATTAATGTAACTAAACTAACCCAGCTACTTGATTCTAGCTATAACTAATTTGCATTGTTCTAATATCACATTTTTATAAAAATAAAGGGTGCTTATATTCTTATTAAATTGTTTATCGGGCTCACTCTTCATTAATCTAATCCTTTGTTTTTTTTTCCTATCGCATCAAAACTTAAGAACACGGTGGGATGGAATTAGGTGAAAGCGTTTGTTGTTATTTTCAACTACCAATGTGGAAATGAAAAGGCTTCAGTGTTTTTTTCCTCTCTCTCTCTCTCTCTCTCTTCGACTACCGAATAAAATTGTTAATGAACTATCAAACATATATTTGGTTAAATTTCTATGAAAAATTTATCAAATTAATAAACGACAACAAATTAATCAAACATATCTTTGGTTAAATTTTATTTATTTATAAACCAGATACTAAAAAATATTTTTTTATTAAATGAATTATCACTTCGAACTTGATCATTAATAAACGAATAATAACCAAATATTAATTAAATTTTCAATTCACTTTTACACTAAAATGAATTTATAGCAGAATATTACAATTATTTAGAGCATAATACTTAATTTTGTTAACATAATCAATATTTGAGAATATAAATTGAGAATCACCGTTCATGCTACTCAATAGATCTCTCTTACACACAATCTAATTGTTGACATTGAGGAGATTGGGATAGTTTATGTGCATAAAGATGTGAAGAGACTTAATAGGGGATATTTATAGAACTATAGATATATTGTTTTATTACGTCATTATGTGTGAGTTGTTGGGGTAGTATTGTTATATTTGCACCATACAATATTATTAGACATCTATTTTTCAAATGCAACTCATTTGTAGTTCTTAATAGTTGATAGCTGTAAAAATCGGTTCAAAATAAAAATAAAATTGAGATCAAACAATATTAACGAATTGTAGAAAAGAGGCGAGGGTCGTGCTTGGCACGGGGTACATACTAGTTCCAGACGGAATATTCCGTCTGGAATAGTTAAAAAACCGTCTGCAATAGCTATTCCAGACGGAATTCCGTCTGGAATAGCCGTCTAGTTAGTTTCCGTCTGGAAAAGTTTAATCCAGACGGAAAATCCGTCTAGGATACATCCTAGACAGATTTTCCTCGACGGAAAAAAAAATCCATCTAGAATACATCCTAGACGGATTATTCTAGACGGAATTAATTTTTTTATTTTTTTCCATTAAAATGGCATCCTAGACGGAATTTGAGCATTCTAGACGAAATTTCCGTCTAGAATGCTTTGCTACAGTAGTTTTTTTTTTTTGCAGAATCTACTTTAGGTTTATGTACACAATATTGAATAACAAAAAATTATATTCATATCCAACACAATCTAATTATATTCCAATATCAAATCTCATTATATTCAAATAATACATTCAACAAAATAGTAGAGAGATACATAAATTGTTTACAAACTTTTACATAAATTATTTACAATGGCTATGACACTACGGAAGCTTCTTCAACTCCTTCCCTATACATTTACTCAAACCCTCTTCTTCACCTTCTTCCTCATCATCCTGAGTGTAGACTTTGGGGTATTTAAGGGCAAATAAATTGCTTGGAACTGACAAAAGAATGAGAAGCTAACTGTTAGTAAAAAATTTTCAAATGTAAAAAAGATTAAGAGTAAGATTGAAGGTAATGTAGCATAACAACAATAATAATGAGCATAACAACAATAATAATCACCTTATTAAGTTGCAACATATATTCATACAAGCTTTAGAGATCAAAGCTCATAGACAAGAACAAGAATACATATATTCATTCAAATAAAAATACAATGCAAATACAAAGTAGAATAAATTGGAATATTTTGCTTACCCAACACTCCCCAAGATATTTCCAGAGCAGCAAACTCAGTAGGCCTTCAAGAAAAACTAAAAAGAAGAAAGAAGTAAGCAGGCCGCTAAGCATCACAACACAGAATTTTCCTGCACACAATGAGACTTAAGTAATAAAATTCACAACAATATGCATAAAGATATGCAAATATTGCAAACTAAGAGCTATAAAGAGTTGGAGTAGCCTCTGACAGTTGTCCATAACAATATGCTTATTACAGACATGTAAATATCACAAACATTTTCCAAGTAGCAAGTAAGCATTTTCCAAGTAGCAATTTAATCAGCAGACACAAGAAACATCATCAAGGTCATGGCATCATTCTAATGATAAAAAAAAGCACTTAACCCTTCTACAAGACTAATAACTCAGTGATTACTCACTTAAATGATTTAATCTTCATCTTCATTCAAACCCCCTCGGAAATCAACCAACGGATGCATCATTAGACAGTACTATAACAATTATGTTATCAAGATTCAAGACTTCATCTTTCCTTTTTGTTCATTCAACAAAGAAAATGGCACAAAGTAACAAAAGAAAAATCGAATTTGACCTTAAACCCTACAACAACAAAATTTGCAGGAATCTAAAGAAAGAAATTTCTAATCTTAAAAAAACGTGATAAAGCATTGACCTGTGAAATCCCAGTCTTTTAAGAACTGGGAGAGTGAAGACGCACATGCATATATCCACACATACACATGCATCCATCCATGCGCACACATACAAATACAAACTATTCATAAGGTCAAAGTGAGATGAACATGTAACCACCCTATCACAAGCAATAATACCACCAGGCTAATCAATTTGTATCAGTCATGGAAAGTTACTTCTCCTTCAGCATGTCTTTCATTCATTCACAACTTGCTAGAGTCGTGATTCAACCTGACTTACATTTCTTAAAATTTTGGTCAAAGTATATCTCTTTTTATTAAATTACACTAATTTCCAATCAAACTGCTCACATGCGGTCAAAGCATATACTTAATAATACAAGTTCATTCTAAATTAGCAAAATTAAACATAGATTAGAAGAGTAAAAGTAACCGGATGACGGGGATCACAAAACTAGGGTTTGAGAAAATTAGGGTTTGAGAAACTGTCAATATCTAATCGGGGATCAAAAAACTTCAAATCAATTGCTGAAATCAAGCTAGATCGAAAGCAAACCTCAAAGAGTTGGAGTTTTTCGACTGAAGCCCTTTTCCTGTTTGAGGGGGGAGGCGACGACGGGACGGCGAGGTCGGAGGAGAGGGACGGCGACGACGTGACGGCGAGGTCGAAGGAGAGGGACGGCGACGACGGGACGGCGAGGTCGAAGGAGAGGGACAGCGACGACGTGACGGAAAGGTCGAAGGAGAAGGACGGTGACGACGGGACGGCGAGGTCGAAGGAGCGGGACTCTCTGATTTGGGGGTTTTTGATAGAGGGTGAACGAAGAAAAGGGCAGTGGACTCTCTGATTTAGGGGGTTTTGTAATTTAATTTTTTATTTTTTTTGATTAAAAAAAGGGAGGCAAAATTCCCGCCATTCTAAAAAAGGGAGGCAAAAATTGGTCTATGTATTCTAGACGGAAATTTCCGTCTAGAATACTATTCTAGACGAAAATTTCCGTCTAGAATACCTAGTTATTTTTAAAAAAATAATAAAAAATAAAGTAACCGTCTAGAATACTATTCTAGACGGAATTTTCTGTCTAGAATATTTTATTCTAGACGGAATATTCTAGACGGAAAATTTCCGTCTAGTTTAATACATTCTAGACGAAAAAAATCCGTCTAGAATACTTGATTTTCTACTAGTGTAGGGTATTCGGCTCACCCTCAGAGGAGGTAAGTCCTTGGTCATCACTAGGAATATGGGCTACAAGGAACTCCATATCAGAGGGGTCAGATGAAATTATAATGATTTCTGAAGGTGATGAATCAACTGGAATAACTTCTACTGCTATATCATCGTCCTCAGCATGATCAATCACGAACTCTGATGAATCTATCATAATAACTTTTACTGGCTCGACCTCCGATGAGTCTGGGGTCATATGGTTAGCCACTATCAAACTTGGGTCAGTTTTATCAAAAGTATATCCCTAGTCTCTTAAGCTGGGTTCCCAAGAGCTATCTACAGAAATCATAAAGCTGGACGGGGTAGATGATGAACTGGAAGATGAATTGGTTCCCGTCATCCTACAAAAAAGGGAACCATCCATCAGCTCACTGAAGTAAAAGGACAAAGTAAAACAAAATAAACATCTAAACACTCCTTAATAAACCTAAAAGGCTTTACTATAAAAAATTTATATGCATACATGTATATACATATGTATACATGCATATATATCACATAGTTGATCCATACGCTAACACTCATCTAGCGCATATGCACTATGATAACATGCCCTACAAGGTTTCTAACATCGAAACCTAAGCTATGATACCATCTTACTGTCACGCACCGAAATTGCAGCGGAAATTCATAATATGCTGGGTGCGCGACAGCAGTAACCCGTGCACATGACAATTCTAATGCACTAGTCAAGCCTAACACTTTATATCACATAGTTTATCATAAAATATTCATAAACCTGCTGATGATAGAAGTCAGAGCAACTATATATATATAATCGGTACTTACAGCCTACAATGCTCACCGTTATAAGCATTTTTACAAAACAAAACAAATTTTGCTAAAGGTAACATAAAAAAGAAGAGGCTCTCCATATAACGCCTCTTAGCCAAAAGCTCAAACCAAAAGTTCGGCTAGTATGAAGCTACGCCGGATCTGAAAAAAAATTAGAAACAACGGGATAAGCTAACGCTCAGTGAGAACATTTCCCACTAGAGTTTCTAGGTAACTAACAAAATAGTAATAAAAATAAGTCTCAGAAATAATAAATTATAAATTTTGCATCAGAAGTTCAAAGATAGCAAAATACGATTACAAATATCATAATATTGTCGACTTCAAGAAAGATTGCAACAATTGTATTTTTTTTCTTATGTTCAACTGAATATACAGTGACGTTTCATGGAATCAAACCCTTTTTGAATCAAGGTAAGCATTAAGAAAGAAAAGAACTACTAATTTGTACAAAACCAGAGAATTATTGGTTTCTCAATTTCACAGTCAATTATCAGAATCTTAGTTCTCGATGAGTTATTTATGAAGGTAAAAGTCACCCCATAGGTCACACTAAAGCTATGAATTATAGCCCAGTAGCAAGGGAATGCGTAAATTGCATCACATAACAGATAATTCTCGGGAATCGAATGCACCTAACACTGCCATAGGTTACTGGCCAAATACAGAGGGGTCAGAATAAATTTCAGAATGGCCAATACAGAAGGGCCAAGGCCAATACAGAGGGACCAAATAAAGGTGCATTCACCATATGGCAGGCAAAAATAATCCATAGTGGACTATTTGAGGGTTTAAAAACATCGAGATCACATGTAAAATGAGTAATACTTTGCATATCAGAATTTATAGATATTTTCAAATGAAGTTGACAAGGTAAAGCTTCTCATTTTAGTTAAAATAGTTCACGGATTTGTACTTTTTCTTTTATTAGACACTAAGTCATGGAAAATTATTGAATCTGTTAAACTATTGAATTACATTCCAAATACTTCATCAAAACTTTCAGATAAAATAATGCCCATAATTATTTGAAAATTGCATGAGAGCCAAATTCATTTTTCTTATTCTACATAAAAATCAAATTCGCTTTTCATATATTGTACGAGGCTAATATCGTATTATAGGATAGACCATAATATAGAAATAAGTCAAATATTTATATACATGAAAATGACATATTATTTATTTTTTGATCACAAGATAAATCAAATATAATACTCATGCAATTTCATATTGTAAAATACTAGTGAACTCACTTCTAGTGGACATAATTTCCCCAAAATATTACTCCCCTGGATATCAACCAGATCCTATAATATAAGATATAAGACTAATTATTAACTCAAGACAAATATATATTATAAGTAAATCAATTCATAATCTAGAGCCTAATAAATTTAGATATAATCAATAATAATTAAATTCTACAGTACATATGAGCTTATTATTAACTTTAGCCTAATAAATTTAGATATAATCAATAATAATTAAATTCTACAGTACATATGAGCTTATTATTAACTTTAGCAATTTATCAAAATTTTATAACTCTCATACAGTACATATGAGCTTATTATTAACTTTAGCAATTTATCAAAATTTTATAACTCTCATATACTAGCTTCTGGACTTCCTAATAATTTATGATAAGAAAGGGGGTTATAGGGAATTAATCAAGCCTATAGTTATCTTTTATTCTTAAATTGGATTTGTTTACAAATAGAGTAATTGATAGGGCTCTATATGTAATTATTCTGTTCATATATAATCCTAGATTTTTCTGTTAGTGTTTATTTACAATCTTTGTGTCTTTTAGGGACTTAGAATGAATTATCCTCCACCCAAAAGGGTTTTATAGGCAAAGTTAAAATAACTTAGGGGTTTTGATAAATTTTCCTCCCCTTATTTGTCTAAACCTGCACATCTTCCTTCTCTGTTCTTCTTCGTTTTTTTTCTTCTTCTTATTTTCTCTCTTCACAATCCTTATCTAGTTCTCAGAGGGTTTGGTTGAGGATGAGAGGATATTTTCCGAAAAAAATTTCTTTGTTTTTTCCCTTTCTGTGGTTTCCTTTGATTTCTCTGTTTTATTCCTTCATTAAGGAGGTGCCGACCAATTTGTCGAATGGATTTTAGCCACTAAACACTAACGTGGTAGATAATCAGGAGTTAGGGGTGAAATCCCAATAAAACCCTTAATTAGTTTTCTAATTTGTAATTAAAAAATTTCTCCATTAATCAAGTTTTAAGACACTAATTTTTTAGGCTACTACACGCGGGCTTAAACCGGTCTAGCCTATGCCCAACCCTAACTAGAAACATATTCATGATACATATTTTTTTAATTAGCAACGCTATGGCATTAATATCTCAACTAGATATTATTATTACATATAAGAAAAATAATAATCTCAATTCTTTTGAACCCGCCCACATGCACAAACAGACGGTTCTGAACCTTATAGAGCAAATAGGTAATTTGGCTCATTTAGTGTAAGGCTTAGAATTATCTGCTCGCATATGGACGGCCGTAAGAGGTTTCCCGTGTGTAAAATAATCAGATTGGTACTTTTTTTTAATAGAAAAATAACCACATTGGGATAACTTCAATATTAATACCATATAAAATAACCCATGTAATATCACCCCTAAAAGAAAAACCCAACAACAAATTGCAAACATGGTCCTACTAAAATGCTGATTACTAGGTGTGTTTGGTAATCAATGTGTTTTTTATTGTGTTTTTGTAAAAAAACACCATGCTATGGTGTTTCTTTTTCAAATGTGTTATGAAAACACCATTTTGGTCAAACTAGTTTGACCATTTATATAGCGGCAGTGGGCAGGCGACGGTCGGGTAGCGGTTGGCGCGGCGGTCGGCCGAGCGGGGCGACGGGCGAACGACGACATGTCGGCTACCGGCGGGTAGCGCGCAAGTGACGCGGATAGCGCGGCCAACAGGCGGGCAGCGACGGGTGCCGGCGAGCGAGTGGCAGGTGGTCAGCCAATGGGGGACGACAAAGCGGCGGGTGGCAGGGTGGTCAGGCCGACGGGCGGACGGCGGCCGACCGGCGGGTGGCTGGCGGACGCGGCGTGGCAGTGGTGCGGCGGGCGGGTGTAGGGTGTGACAGGTGGTGAGTGGCCGACGGACCTGGCGAAAGCAGTTGCGTGCGGCTGTGGCGCGGCCGCCGGCCGGAGGCGGGCGGCGGCGGGGCGACTTGGTGGCCGATCGGGCAGAGCGACGATGGCGTGTGCTGGTCGGCGGAGGTGAAGGGTGGTTGGTGCGCGCTGATGGGCGGCGCGGCGGGCCGGGGAGCGGACGGCGACTAGCGGTGGTGGCAACGGCGGCGGCAGCGGGTCGGGGAGCGGGCGACGGTAAGCGACGTACGTCGGTCACACGGGAGGGCGGGCAGCGATGACTTAGAACGAACGCGACGGGCGTGGACGCGCGGAGCGGTGGGCCTGAGGGGCGAGCGGGCGCGCGGTGGCCGGCCAGCGGCGGGGTGGCGGCGGGCGCAACGGCGGCTGCGAGGAGCGGATTGGCGGCCGGCTTAGATGAAAAAAAACGAATGGATTAAAAACACATTTTTGTTGTTTTGAGAAAAGTGTTTAATTTTTTAGATTTTGTAAAGGGACAATAAAAAAACGCCCCGGTTGCCAAACGGTTTTTTTTTGTTTTTGTTGAAAAAAAACAAAAACGACAAAAACGTCACGGTTGCCGAACGCTCCCTTAATTTAGCCATTTTAA